GCGCCCCCATAAAACAACGGCGCGGAGATTGTCTTTCGGCGGGACGTGCCGGTTTCATGCTAACCCGCGTATCGGCGGTACACGCACAGACGTGAGATTCTGCACCGCGCTCCTGCATGGTCGACAGCTGGAACACTGCCCGAACTGGCAGACGCGTCTCGCACTGTTAAGAAAATAGTTCCGAGGAAAGAGAATAAAATAAAAATGTAGCAGCAGCTGTATTCCAGCTCTCGACGCGGGCGATGCGATCGCGCGAGTTTCCGCACGCGAGACGCCGTCGAGCCGTGATTGGTTGCGACGCTCCTGACGAGATATGCTCGTCCAATCGGGCCAGTGTCGTATCACCGCGACGACGTTGCTCTCGTAGTAGGCCCGTGCGTTCTTTCTTTATTGTACATTGGCGCGACTGCTGTAGCCTCGTATTCACGCCGTTTCTGTGATCCCCCTTTTTCTTTACGGACGATCATAAAAGAGCTAGCTCTCTCTCTCTCGTCTCTAGAAGACGATGATAGAGTGAACATAAAGAGCAGGTTTAGTGAGGAGAGCCTAAAGCCCGTAGATGTTTTGGAGGGGCTGCTGTTTAGAGCTTTCGCCGCATGGAGGACACCTACAACCCGACGTTTACTCGGTCCTAACACGGAGATGCTCCTGATAGCTGCGCGTTAGTACTGATAATGGGTATAACCATAGGCGCCTGCACGGGGAGGGTGAAGGGTGGGGTGGAGGCTGCGGATAAATCTTAGCTGAATACTTGGCATATGGATGAAATACCAATGAATGAACCTACGGCCTTACTTATTATTAGTTTTTAAAAACTTCACCATACACTGATCGCGTGACTTGCGGTCTTGAATTTTTGACGCGAAGAAGAATCTCGATTTGCGCAGCAGCAAAGTTGAGGCACAACAAAGCTAGACATTACTCGTACCAGCTTCGTCGTAATGTAACTCATTCCGAGTTGCAGTCCTATTTCCCTTTTGCCGTCGGAGCATCTCTCCCTTCCTCTTTCCATGCAATCGTTCCGCCTTTACAGGCCTTCTCAGCCGAGTAATTTTTATTCTCTCCCATACACAGCGTCTCTGCCACCATGTGTGCCTTACAGAGTACGCCACTTGCACAACACCGTTGACAGATGCCCTTTATCTCGCTCTTCAACTTCCTCGTCAGCTCGCAGACGCAGGCGGAATTGGATCGCAGTCCGTTGGCCTTGGCAGTGACTCCCTTGCTCTGAGAGTGTTTGGAGTCTGACCAGCATTGCACGCTTCAAGTATTGCAGATTGTGCCGCCGCGTGTTGCACCGCATGCGGATTCAAATACGATTTTTATCGGGAATATCAAGAATTTCTATCAGTTTTTTTTTTTTGACAAGCCGGCATTAGATATTGCAGAAATACACGAAACACGTTTGGGTAAAGCCTGTTGAAGGTTACCAGCCAACAATGTTGGCTATCAATGTTTTATATGTAAGGTTATCGTACTTGTTTCGCATTCACTGTTCAGTCACCCTTCATTTTGCGATTTAATACTTCCATTTCATTACACCTTTTCTTTTCACTTTGATGCTTTCTTTACTTCAGCATCGTCACTGCCACCAACCTTCACGGTGACCATCAGTAGTCGTACATGAAGTAGCAGTAAAGCGGCTAGCAGTGGGTGGTATTAGTAGTACTATAGCAGTACTAGTAGAATAACAGCAAAAGCATTACTAGTTGTAGTCGGTGCCGTAATAGTGGTCGTAGAACTTTCGGGGTTTTCTCTTTGTGTTTTCACCCACAGACGCGACCCAACGAGGCCTGTAGACGTTGGGTGTGGTCAATTTTTTTTTCGTTTCTTTATTAATAATTCAACCCGAAACAACAAACAAGTGCGTGGCCATTTGTATACTTCATTAATGTGGCAATCACGAACGTACGAGGTTTAGATGCGCCGAAGTCATACAGACACGTGTGAGTTCAAATTCAATCTTCTTCATTTCCAACTTCTGTAAGGCTTGAGATAAAAGTAAAAAAAAGGGGATGGGGGCTCAATTCTGAAGTAACAGCCGTGTCACCTGTTGTGCAGTACATCCTTATATTTGTTTTCTCTTTTCGCAGTTTCTCCGTAATTGTCTCTATCTCTCTTTTCCTTTTTCACATATGGTGGCCACCATAGAACGTGAAAGGCCTCCATTAGCAGAAGGAAACATGACTGAATGCAAAAAAGAAATAAAATAAAATAAGAAACATACGGACAACCTCGTCTCTCATGGTTTGTCAGTGATCACTTGACGTCAAAGAGCATGTACGCCTGTCCGAGCTTTTTTAAAACGCCCGTACATAATGGGATGTTTTGATGCGAGACGTAATTAAGGTGCTTTCTCGTTTTTTGTTTTACGTTCTTTTGCAGCATGTTTTTTTTTTTGGTGTAGTTACTTTCCTCGGCAGTTTATTTACGTCGCATCATTTTATTCACTAAAACGTAATAATTAATTGTCCCTTGAGTCCTTCAATTAGCAGTATTGGTAAGGCAGTTATTATATTTAGAGAACTTTCAGTTAGTTTTTAAGGCGGTTTTTACTTAGAAGCTTGGGATAGATTACTATAGACGTAATTAATAGTAAGTTAATTGTTCTGGTAATATTACTGACGGTATACTTTGGCGCGCTTGTGCCTCTTGTATCTATTTGACAGAAAATGTATGCGTCTGCGATGTTTACTCTGAGTTTAAGTCACGCCTAAGAACGCACTACTAAGCCATGCACCACACCTGTTTTTATAGACAAAAACTGCGACACTAAGCGGTAACCATTTTAGACCACCTTCTAATGTTCGCAGTTGATTACTCTTGGTGGCCGTCAGCTATCCACTTGGCGAACGCACCATTAATGAAAACTGGCAGGTAATGAAGCCAGCGACCGTATTGGGGACGTTAATTGTGTTGTTTAGGTGCATTGCGGTAATTGCGATGAATATGTGGACGAAGAGACAACCATGCCACCGGCCGGTTCCTGCCATTCCTTCCCTTCATCCTGGGGATGTAAGTTAGAGGTAATTAAAGTTTGTTTTATAATGACGAATGTGGTACGGAACAGCTAACACGCAAGAAAAAAGAATACCCAAGTGATCATATAATCATCATTACTTAGCGACATTACTAATTTATTTGCCAACACTGCATACGGCAAGTGCTGTTATGACGTTAAATATAATTTTCAAAGCAATACGATCGAAGTAAGTTTTACAGAAGCGCTCTCCAAGAACGTCTATAATTATTAAGTGGACTGAGTAAAAAAAAAGAAAAAGTGGGGATACAGGTTTGTTCTGACAACTCTATTCCACCGGTAACATATGCCTGGCCACAACATCTCCATGATCCGTTTCGGGGTGCTTGACTATATTGTTCAGCCGAAGTATCCGCGGCTCTCATCAAGACTAATTATGGCCATGCCCCCACCTGAGTAATTTATACGACGGCGATTCATGAAACGAAGCCACCGAACTTTGATTCTCCATGGATTTAACCAAAGAGCACTGTTTTGTATATTGCGAAAGCCGACCTTCGCTTATATATTCAACTGTGTAGGCTGTTGGGCAAACTTTCGAAAAAAAATTCTTTAAAGTGATTAGTGTTTGGCCTTTAGTGACACGTCGGGTTCCTATTAACGGCGATCAAGAATGTGCATCTGTACATGTTCTTGAAGACATACATGAATGCATGATAACAGGCTTCGTCAGTCTAAGTAATTCTTTTTTGAAACCTGAAAGATAATGTACGCGTGCTTCAAAATAGTGTCTTGGAACATAGGCGATCCTGTATGTTTTTTCTTCTACTGAGTCACTTTTTTTTTTTTATCTGACGAAGCTATCGCTGCTGCATAGTCTACGTATCACTTTATGAACAACCCCATTCTAGGCTAATCTAACCCCGTACAAAGTGGGCTGTCAGAAAATCATTCGAGACTGTAAATTTACAGCACTGCCAAGTTGCTTTAATTACAACTAGCAAAGTGTCAAGCCCGCGAACCCATGTTACTGCAAGCATTCTCAGTCACGAAAAACTTATTTTCGGAGAAGCTCTTTCTAGCCCCGCCATATTAACTAAACAGTCGTTTCTATGAGCAGAAAATAAGTCAACTATAGGAAACACGAGGAATTGTTATTTGTCGATTGGCCGCTTAAGGGCGCAGAAATGAGGAGCTATCGTGGGAAAAGTTTGAAAGCGCGCGCCACTGGAAACCGAGATACGCCATCCGGATCATGCGCTACATATTCTACGGTGCTTCAGCAGGTTGACTTCGATGAACGGAGGTAAAGTGCTTCTAAGCTTCTCGAAAGCGCAAAACTGAGATTGCTGTGAAAACTAGCAGAGGCCACGAACTTTGCGGTTTGTGTTTAGCGTCGCGTGATTTGCATTCTTGCAGATCTAGCCACATTGAAAGCAATAGTTCCGCACTGTTTACCTAGATGGCGGTACTAACTCAGTGACTGCAGTATTCATTGCGCAAAATCCCGATTTAATGGGATAGTACTCGCCAGTTCGCGAAAGGGTGCAGAAAAAGCTGAGGCCAGTGCAGCGCCAGTTAAACACAGTTTTCTTTTTTTATATATACGCTAACACAGAGGGAAAAAAAAAGCTAGCTATGGATCAAAAACACGGGCGAAAACAGCCCATCGGATCACGGCCGCCTCGGAACATTTCCATGATTTTCCTAGGAAAGAACATCACCGCTACCCTCTCCGCGATTCTTTAAAGGCGTCCGATGCTCGTAATAAGCGCTTGAGAAAACCCTCTCATCAACGCACAAGTGTAACGAAAGCGGCCCATACATCGCATGAGCGTCAGCGATGCACGCCACAGCCGCGCCGGCAAGCACGTGTACAGCCGGGGTCACGTGACAAGGCGGCACCCATCAGAACAGATGAGCCGACCAATGGCGAGCCGCGCTCATCACCTGATAGTGGGGCGACATCGCGGCGGAAACGGGGTGCCACCATTGCATTCCACGCAGGGAAGAGTGAGAGACGGCTGCTACAGTTGATCGTTGTTAACCCGCGCCGTATTTCCCCGCTGTCGTCACCGGCCTCCCGGACGATCGACCTCGAGCGCGCCCAGCGTCTGCCCGACGAGCGTGGCGCAGCGTCGGGCAGGCCCCGCAGACGTCAGTGCAGCCCCCGGCGCACCCCCCTCGGCTCGGTGAGTGGGACAAACCCGTCTGCGTCGCTCGGGTGGGGGGACCTTTTTCCGGTCGCGGCCTGGCGTGGGGGCATAAAAAAAGTGGTCAATCGAGACGTGTACGCTGCGTGTGTATCTGCCCCCCGAGAGAAGAAGTCCTTGCCTCCTCGCGAATGGAGAGTGCAAACAGTCTGAGCCCCCGGCGACTTTCCGCCATTGGTGGTAGTCAAAAGTCGCGGCGACAGTCTTACGCGGGGCAGTCTCCCTCACAGGACTCTGCTCCTGCCGGCGGCCAACTCAAGCGGGTGCCCACTGTGAGCGGACCGGTGTCTGGACTGGACAACATAAACATGTATCGGCTCGACGCTAACCACCGGGCCTCGAGCTCGAGCGCGTCCCGGCGCACCAGCCGCAACGAGGATTCCTTCACCTGTTCGCAGCAGAGCATCCTCAGCGCCATGGATCGGTTCGTCAAGTCCGTGAACAACATGGATGCCACGGTGCTGGTGCCTTCGAGATTGCGTGACATGGACCTCACCGACAAGGCGGGACGTGCGCCGCCCGCGAACCTGATGCAGACCGACCTCTACTCCTTCTACAACATGCTCAACGACGTCAAGAACGAGCTGCTGTGGGGGCCCAGCGCGGCCGCCACCTCGGCCGTTGTGCCGCTGACCGGGGCGCTGCTACGGCCGCCCCCGAAGCACACGCGGCAGCCCTCAGACGACAGCCTCGGCTCCACGGGATCCACGTCCGACACCGATTCGGACGTCGACAGAGTGGTCACGGACCGCGACGGGCTCGAGCAGAGCCTTCACCTGGCCGCCGCCTTCTGGCATCACCTGCAAGGACTGCACGCCATCCTGCACCAGCTCGCCGACTCGGCCGACTACCTGGCGTGCAGGTACCAGGAGGAAGTGGACGCGTCGGCACTCTGATCCGTTCCACGTCGTGGTTGTGCGCGTCGGGACCCACACAGGCCACAACGGGATACTATACAGTGCTCCATCGTCGCCACTCCGAACGATGTTCATACAGTGTGCTCGCTTTTTTCTGTCGACCCCCGCCGCCGCCTGCCCGCCGCCTGAAGAGACCCGAGCAACGGAGAAAATTAGCCTTCCCACCCCAGCGCAAAACCCTGCGAACAACAGGGCCGTTTTAAATCCCCCGTGATAAAAAACTGCCTTCGTTTGCTCGCACTTTTTTTTTCTCTTCGCCATGACACGTGGATGACGCGACAGGTCTGTCTCGTTTTGTGCCAGTTTCGGTTTTCAGCGACCGAATCCATGCCACGCGCTCAGATTCGGGGCAGTCTCGTTCTGTGATCAACAGCTCTATCTTTTTCGTTCAAGTTTTGAAATTCGACTCTGACTCCGCTGCTCCTTCGTAGTAGCGCTAAACCATCATTTATTTTTTGTTTTTCCTGTCGTCGTCCCCCCCACTTATTGCGGCTGGTATGTCCATCAGGTTACCCGTTAGAAACGTTTATCTTCGTAGCAAAACGGCTGTACGCCCCAGGGTTTGGTTGTAAGCATCACGATATGGCCGTTCGTCCTCGTATTCGCGGCGCTCGAAATAAGAGGGCACGCAGAATGCGTAGCGGGAAGTTTTCGTTTTCCGGGTGAACCTGGTAAGACTCCGCAAAAATGGCTGCGGGAGGTCCCGTATGTGGGCCAGTAGTGTGTTAACTTATTTTGCTGCGCCTCGCGCATTTTGCCCGAAGCTACGACGTCTTGTCACGATGGTTTTTTTTTTTTTGTACCTTCTCGTCCATTCTCTATTATATATGCCAGCAGAGTAGAGCAACCGATCGTAACAGTTAGCTAACAGCCCCGCGATGCGCACACTTTTTTGTTGAGCGGCCGTTGCCAAAATTTCTGAGTTCTTGCACGAAGCGCCATTTTGTAGCTGTCTCTTGCCACTCACTGTTTTGCATTTAACCGAAACGTCACACGAGTGATTTTTTTTTTTTTCACGTGATAAAAGGGCGTTTCTGTGTGTCGGACGTGGCGCAAAGTTCTCGAGTCATGTAACCTAAAAAAAAATCGCGCAACATTCCAAGCTGCTTAATTAGTCGCTAACCGTTGTATGGAAGGATACTCACATTTTTTTCTTCTCATCTGACATGGTTGTTCTTCGTTCGGTGTTGCGACGCGAGCTATGGCTTCTCGGGGATAGTTGTGTGTTGCGGAGCTTTAAAAAAAAAAAAGCGTGTGTTAGAGCGAGTGCATGATTGTACATATGTAAATATGACTACATACTTTTTTTCTTTGGCTCAGTAGTGTGCACAACGACGTAAACTAAAAAGGCTGAAGAAATTTAGACACTTATGAAATGTTCTGTTTTTTGTTGTTTCTAATGACGAAAGTCTAAAAGTAACCAGTCGGAAAAAAAAGCGTGATTGTATTCTCTGTTAAAACGAGTGAGAGAGAGGAAAACATTGTATTTGTTGCACCTTTGTAAATTGGAAAGGAACGCATGGAGGATGATGGCCATCACACTTTGTTGTTCATTTGACAGAAGCGAATTAAAAACAGAGCTACATTGACGAAAAAAAAAGCGGTCTCCTGTGTGTCTTTATTTCTTTCCTGGCTTCCTTCACTCGGTGGCCGACGCAAGCAACGTCGTCGCCAGAATTAGAAGCGCGTTTGGGCTTTTGCTTGAACGTGCCGAGTGCAGACGGAAGTGGTACAACGGTCGTAGTCTTTTGTTGGGCCGATGGAAAATAGGTTGGCGGGTACGGTCTCTGGCTGCATTGCTGTCAAATGAGCCGGATAGCAGCATCGAGTCACGCCCCCCCCCCCCCCCCCTGGTATCTGTGGCGGGAAAATTCGAACTAGACTGAAACTACTCAAACGTAGATGAGCCGCGCCACTGTTTCGAGAGCGGCCCACGGCGTAACTATATCCTACTAAATAGAATGGCGTCGTGTCCCCATTTTCGCAACGGTTGCGTCAATGCCGTGGCCCACTTTTTTAGCTTCGCGCACGCGCCGAGGTTCTGTGTCGGGAAGGCGATTATTAGCCGGCAACGCAGTCCTTTGTTTGTTTGTTTTTCCTTTTCCGAGACTTGGGGTGAATACGGAAATCTCGGGGATTGCATCATTGTTATGCTTCGGAGCTGTGTTTGTAAGCGTACCTTTGCAGGCTGCAAACTGCGGTGTCGCTGGTCATGTATCGAGTCAGCCCTTCGTAAGTTAGATGGTGGAGCATGAAAAAAAAAAAAAATAAACGATTGTTTACACACACACTCGCACATCTACGAGCACACACTCCGTTCACTTCTCGGGGCTATGACCTCTTCTCGGCATTCCGCGCTGGGCCGAAACTGGATCGTTGGCTGACCTTGACCGAGGAGTGCGTAATGATCATCGGCGCGACCGCACGAGCGATCTGCGTACAGCGCATAAATGCGGTCTCTTGCGAGATACACCTGCCAGAGTGCGTTATTAGCAACAGAAACGGTCGTGCCGTTTTTTTTTCTTTTTTTTCCTTCCTTCTCGCCTACGTTTATTTTTTAGGTGAAATGGTCGTTTGCGGCTTGCCTCTCCTGAAAGGCATTTTTTCGCGCATCTACTCCACGCTTCAACGAGGCAGAGTGCTAGCAAGTGGTTGCTTAATAAAGGAAACATTTTCAAAACATGAACGTTTGGGGGGGAGGGTGTGGGGATAGTAATGAGGGATGGCCGCTGTAACTGTCTAGCTTGAGTAGCTGACACTGAACGGTGGATGTAGTTTGGGGGGGGGGGGGGGGGGGGGACGAGTTATTTTTTTAGAAAAGAGAAAAGAGGGGGAGAAGCACGATGACTAGCCTTCTAACTCTCTGCGTGGTATGAGGGAGTAATTTGGTGAAAGGGGAAGAGAAAAAAAATGCGGTTTGGGTAGACGCGGTTTCGCCGTCCCCTTTCCGACGTCCTGCCTTCCTCCGTTATCTACGATGCTTCGTTTTTTTTTTTCTTTCTTTACACTAGCTCGGCGTGAGGGGCACGTCACCACTGGAATGCTACTTTCTTCGGGTTCTCCCCTTCCCGTGCTTGCAACTGTTGAGTTCCTCGCGTTGTTGGCTTCGCCCCTTCTCCTCTTACCCCTTTCGAAATCGCCCGGCGCTTTTGTTAACGGTTCGCGCGGGAATGCTGCGTCCCCGCTCGTCTCCGGGAAGCCAGTGTGCGAAGTCGGTTGCTTATCTGTGGCCTCTTTTGTACCTCGCCCACCCATCAGCCGAAGTTGTTAAGATAGCGATAAGGATAGTTATTTCACTGGAAATACGTTGAAGGAGAGTGGCCCCGCGAACGCAGTGTTCTGGAATGATCGACTTATTCGTAGTAAAAAAAAAAAAAAAATGCCCCCACCTCCCCGAAGGGAATCGTGAGGAAATGCGTTGGGTAGCGTCCATAACGGCGTTTCATAACGGCGTTTCACACGTGAGAGCCCAGCGTTAGAAGAATAATACAGTTATAGTTTACCGTCAGGTGATAGCAGAGGTTAAATGAATGGCGTTACCGTGCAGCAAACGTTCTTTGCTGACAGTGCCTTTGTTATAGTTTAGCGGAATAGCGTTTACGTCTCCCAGTTCGAATGGTGGCGCCACCTATCGGAGGGTTGAAAAGTAAGAACACTGAAAAGGAAAAGAAAACGAGAATGTCTGCCTGTGTCACCGCGCGAAGCTCGGTTACAAGTTTATTTTAGTAATAATGAAAGTAAGTATTGTCACAGAGTCGTGACGTGGACGAATGAAGCAGACTGCAGGTCTAATAATAAACTGTTTATTTGGGCGAACCTGTGCCCGGTAAACGGAAAGTTTTGCGCTGATAGAGGCGAACGGAGCGTCGGCAGTCGATCAACTAACAAGCGGCGAAGTGCATCGGCATTTGTACACTTGCCATCGAATGTTCTAGCGTTATCGCTAGCGGCGACGTAGGTTTTAGAATAATCTGAAATGTTCACGAAGTAGACGCAATCTTAACAAAACGATCTACTAGAGCCTACAAGCTTCTCGAACATCGTAGGCGCGGTTTGCGCTGAACTTAGTGTAACGGGGTGATAACAAAACTTGGGGAAAGGAACGTGGCAATATGAACCACGCACCAAACGCGAAAACATTTATGTTGGTGATTTGTTTACATCGATCTTGTAGTTAGGCCTAGACAAGTTCGAAATGGGAGGCTATCTCAAAAACTACGCCAACTTATCCGCAATACTTGGTCGTCGAAGCTAACTTAAGGCAAACGAAGCCACTTGAAACAGTCGTTTGCTGCGCCAAAATCACTTCGAAGCAGGCGTCCGAGAGCACCGCCATGTTTACACGGTAACGTTAAATAAAAAAAAAAGCGTTCGTACGGTAAGCGGTACGGGTAACGTACGTATGCGTATGCGCACTTTGATTCCGCTATTACGGTACGCCCGGTATCCCGGTAAGCCAGGTATACTATAACTGTCTGTTTTCTTTTTTCATTTACACCGTGTAGCTAATAGGACACTGTAGTAATGGGTACCGCGCACTGATCAGAGGGAGCTGCGTTGCTCACACTGCCCCGTCTCAAAGTTTCTGATATTCGCCGTTAGGGGCACGCAGAAAAGAGACGCGTGCTCGCGTCCCCAGTGTATCCCGGCCACAATCCGCTGGCAGATGTAGGGGGCGAGACGCGCGCGTTGCGTTCCATTTTCACCGATGCCGTCTCAAGGTTTCTTTTTCTATCCGCCAGGCTATGTATTTCGGCGTTGCAGTCAGATTGGAAAACTCCACTGAACGGTGCCTATAGCGCCGTTTGCCGCATGTGGCGTTTTTTTTTTCTGTCGCGAGAAACGCGGTATGCGTTTCCAGCTCTAGTAGCTAGCGTGCACGGATAAAAATGAATTGCTCGGTGGTTCAACGCGCTTAAGTGTCTCCTTTTTGGGCGCCTCTTTCAACGAACGCTTCCTACGTGCGTTCGTAATCATTTCAGGGATGTTGCCACCATCTAGAGCACTGCACGGGCTGATTTTTCCGGCCCGAGTAGCCACAGCTATTAGCAAGCGAGCCACTGTCCTCGTTTTTCCCTGATTATGCCTATTTTTGTCGTCTTCTCCTGATGGCCTTCGATCTTTGAAATTGTTATATCCTTGTGGGAAAATCTTTGAGCCTTTGTTGACGCTCAGTGCAGTGCCGTCTACAATATGGCGTGCATTCGAACACTCCAAGAACAAACAAGTCTCTGCCCCACAACCTTCTTTCGTCTCTTCAGTCCGTGTCGCGAGCAAGTATCTACATCCTCCCACTACAATAATTTCACTAACCTTTCCCTAATATTCCCCGCAGACACCCTTATTTTAAAGTCCTTATCATCCTTCCCAAATCCTCCCCACAACAAATGATGCTACAATTTTCACCTTACTCGCACGAGTTTAAGCAAAGCCCTATAATAATGTGTTTCAAAAGCCTCGACTTCAGTTCATGACTATCTGTATTGAGCGTTACTTCCTTATCAGAATATAAAACTCTGCACTATAAAAGGACAAAAAACCTTCAGAGATAGCCTCAATGACACTTAAAATGTGTGCACTGTTCGAACTGGCACACGTGTAACGACTTTCGTGGTAGTCTCCTCTCGCAGCCACAGGCACAAAATCGACAATGCTGATTTGAAGGAGCTTCGATCGGTTGATTGATTGATTTGTGGGGTTTAACGTCCCAAAACCACCATATGAATATGAGAGACGCCGTAGTGGAGGACTCCGGAAATTTTGACCACCTGGGGTTCTTTAACGTGCGCCCAAATCTGAGCACACGGGCCTACGACATTTCCGCCTCCATCGGAAATGCAGCCGCCGCAGCCGGGATTTGAACGGAGCTTCGATCGGAGCACACTGTCTTTTGGAAAGGTGTTGTAGTTGTTGATGAACCATTTAGTCTGAATTGCGTGCATGCATCAAAATTAGAGCACACTAATTTAACACGTGTGTATTATCATAATGACCAGAACAGTTCACATAGCCCAGCGATAGTGCCATGAAGACCACCATGATGACGACGGCGCCGGTGCATGTCACTCGCATGGAGGTGTGCGTAACTCTGATATTGCAGCATTCGTTTAGGCCAGTTGCCGTCTTCTGGAGTTGTCGTGTCGTCGAAGGGAGAGCCGACGCCAAGAGTACCTGTCTTCAACCGACTTTTTCGCTCCATTTGAAGAGGCGTGATACACCGCTTGGGTTCTTATCGCACCACTTTTGCCGGTTACATCTGACAGTTTATCAGTGGCGATGTTCTCCGCATGTCCATTTTTCTTGTGTGATTTCATACTTTTTACACAAGGTTAAACTTGTTCTTCTTTCAAACAAACGGCAACACTCTAATGATCCTTCGCTGATACATGCCCTTGGTAACTTCAACGCAACCATTTCGGAAATCGATGGCATGGTTGAACCCTCTTATGTCGATGTCTTGCTTCGGGAATGTCTTTCCTTCAATACCACTATAGTATCGAACTCCGAAACCCGTTGTGACGGGTTAGAGGAGTTAATAGACATCTGTTCGCAGGACGCAGATATGAATGTTCGAATACTGTCCATATCGTTCCTCGACGG